AAGTTAAACACACTAGTGTTTACAGGAAACCCACACATTCAGACAGATACTTGGACTTCCGGTCATCCCATCCTATGTCAGTAAAAATAGGATTGGTGAAATGTTTAAATGACAGAACACAAAAACTAAGTAGTACTAAAGAAAATCTAAAACAGGAACTGATACACATAAAAGAAGCCTTGAAACTTAATAATTACCCGGATAAATTAGTCAGGAAATATGTAAGGAAATCTAAAAATAAAATAAATAATGATAATAGCGATAGTGATAATAACAATAATAATGATAATGATAATAGTGATAATAATAATAATAATATTGATGACGACACCAACAATAAGGAATCTAAATCATCAGTAATAATTCCATACAAGGAAGGAACCTCGTAATCCTTGCGTAGATTTCTTAACGAGGCAGGAATAAAAGTGGCTGGCATTCAAACCCCACAAACTGAATTAGAAACAAACTTTGTCGCTTAAGGGATCAATCCTGTAGAGCCCTTAAAACAAAACAGTTTAGTTTATCTAATATCCTGCAATGATTGTCAGGTCAAATACATAGGTCTAACTAGTAGAACAGGGGCAGTCAGACTAGCTGAACATAAAACCTTAGCAAAATCCAGATTAGTTGACCCTTATAATAAGATAAGAAATCTAGAGAATAGTTCAGCTATAGCACCACACCACATGTAATAACACACAACCATACAGTATAGGATGGGATAGGATAAGATGACAGTTTTAAAACCTAATGTCACAGGGTATAGGGAGAGATTGATAACAGAAGCTTTGTTTATCGAACCAACTGCAAATACGTGTAATAGGAATGATTCAACACCTGTCCACGATATCTGGAAAATTCTACTACCCCTACGACAAATAGGAGAAAACAAAGAAAACTATAAAACTCAAGTTTCGAAGTCGTGTGATTACAATTGATGACATGATTATGAACAATAAATCTTGTTCGAAACTTTATCATCCAGTAAATAATACTGTTTCATCACTGTGTGATGTATCTAATAAACAAACTAATGTGGAATTACTTGCTACCACAGTGCCCAAGTTTTACACATATATTAAGGTTTGAAAAAATTTGGGCATTGGGTATATGATAATAATAATACTTTGATATAGCTATTAGCATTAAATAGCGAAACGTCAGTAAAAACAACATCGTTTTGTTTTTTCATTCGTCGTGAAATACAAAGACCTTTATTATAATGAATGTGATATAGGTAGCCCAGTTTTTAAGGCCGACCATTGACATCAGGTGTGCGTCGACAGGGGATCGAACCCTGAACCATGTGCATGGTCGGCGAGAGTCCTAACCGCTGTGCCACCGAAGCACAGTGATTTTTGTCCAAATAGCTGCAAGTCAGCATGAGGCAAAACACTAATTTACAAAGCCAGAGAATGGGATTCTCAGCATTTGTCACAATATTACATCTAATTGACTCAAAATACGAATAAAATGAACTCACAAATCTTTACACTTTCACAGTAGGAATAAAGTCACAAATGTCCAGCGTCCAAAATGAGAATAATAACTCTAATAATAATAATAACAGTGAGTTTGTTTCAAACAGTATTGTCGATTCAGTTTGGAAATTTAAGCATGTTATAGATTATTGAATCTAGCGTTCTGTTGATATGGTATGGTGAGAAGTAAAACAGAAAATGGTAATTATTATAGATCTTAAATGATGTTTACACTTATGAGAAAATAAACAAAAAGTTGAGAGGATTATAAATATAATAACAATAACAATAGAGATTGGTGGAATAAGGATGGAGAGAATTGTTTGTTTGCTGGTGGCACTATTTTCATCACATAAAATACGTGTCAAATATGGTATCGTGGAATTTTTATACTTAGACCTGAGTAGACACAGGGCGAAAGCTTCGGGGGTAAAGTGAATGCTTACAGTCTGACGAAATCCATATGGCAAATTTGTTGAATGAAATCAATTGCCTATCAATGATGGGGTTAACGATATGGCCCAATGGGATACCACCACTCGCCCTACTGACAGTCAGTCTTCAGAGTTCTACTAAGTATGACATAGTCTTTTCTTAAGCAACCCAGTAAAGAACAATGGTGAAGAATAAAGAGGAACAGTTGAGATGCAAGAGTTGATAAACTGTAAGAGGAGAAGGATGAGTTGAGTTATGCTCAAGTGCCTTAACTTTTTAATGTAAGACATCGGACGGAATATTTTACTAGAGATTGATAAGACATGGGAAGACCAGGATAGATCAGAAGAAAGAATTAGTCAAAGATATTTAACTTCAGACTTGATTTCTATTTCAGTATCATAAATTTTGTAACGGTTATGGGAATTAACAGCTTCATTTAACTTTCATTTACATCAGAAACTGAAATTAACAGTCTGACATTTGGAAGGATTTAGTTTAAGACAATTAGACAAAGACCATTTGCTGACTCATGATAGAAAGCTGTTCATCTTACTACAATCGTCAAAGCATCTACACGAGAGGTCGACATGTCAACCTGAGACCGAGCACTTCGGTCCAATCAATCGACGGCAAAATCTAAAATTCGATTAAATAATGTATATGACCCGTTAAACAAGAGGTGGCTCTCGTGGCCCAAGTGGTCTAGTAGATAACGCTTTGGCGTTTGAAACTATGGGCACTGGATTCGAGCCTCAGTGGGAACATCGTCACTCACTGAGAAATGCAGGTACATCCAGATGGCGAGTCCCAAATTGGACGAAACGCGCATCCTAGATTCCACTGCGAGTCACCATCCACCAATTAAATACTAATCTAGCTGAGAGTTAACAAACATTAAAACATTTGGATTATCAAATAACTTAACAAAGCTCATGTTATTAACAGAGTGTGGCAAATCATGCAAGAAGAAAGAAAACAGAAAAGGAGAAAGAACAGCGCTTTGAGGGACGCCAGCCTCAGTAAGCAATGGAGTGGACAACTTCCTCTGATATATGGTGTACTGCTTTCTATCTGAGAAATAAGAATGCAGTCAGTTGACAACCTTACATTCATTTTCAGTTTCAGCGAGCTTATTTGCTGAAAGATGTGAAGGTTCGAATATGAAGCATATCACAGTAGGAAGAAACGCCTATCTTCATTCAACTCGACTTAAAAGCTAGTAATATTTCGGGTATAGTCAACAGAAGACTGAATATCTCAATAGTCAGAACCAAGCCTTCAGCTAAGTTGGTCAATGTTTATTGGACAAAATGGTCTTCAATTCCATGTCCACTCTAACTGTGTATACAAATTTACATATATCTACGGCAGCAGTTAAATTAGAACAGAAAGAAGAGCACAGATAGCTTTTCTGAACATGTACGTCTCAAGGGAACAAATGCTTTCAAAAATGCCATTGCCAGGCATATACTTGACATGGATCAGGAGGTGGACATTGCGAAATCCTTTAAAATTATCACTAGACAAAACACTTCAGTTCTCTTCAAGTTTGTCGAAGCAATCTCTACCAAACGCCTGAATCCCAATTTGTGTGTTCAGAAAGAAACAGTTATCAGTATTTCGTTCTCCTAGTAACTGGATGTCTCGACTTTCTCTCTTTCATTTGATTACATAATTCCTTGACTTCAACACCATCCTCCTTTGATTAATTGTAAACTCGCTTGTCTCTTATTTCTATGATTTCAGTTGAACTCACTACATCGTTAATCAATTTATTAGTTACTCATCATTTTACTCACCTCTTGTGTTTATTACATAACTCCTTTACCATCATTGTATGCGTGCAGTGGTTTTTATTTAAACTTAAACCCTTTGCTATAAACTATAAAATTGTAGTTTTCTGAACACTGTTCATTAAGTTTGGAGCTTGCAGTCAACTTGTCGTGACAGCCGTCTGCAAGCCAAAATTGTAGACAACAACTTACGACAGTGTTCATGTCAAGGAACTTAGCCCTAAGTTCCTATTGTAACGAAGACGCTTTGAACCGATAATGACTATGTATTTTCTCGACTTTAACTCTAAAACACCAGTATTCTTTGAACGAAGTTATATTGTTTGGCAATTACAGCAAAGATGAATACAAGTTTTTATTCGTATTCTCTTCTCGTTTTCAAACTTGCACACAATCGAACCATTTGCGCCTCCGAGTTGCCCGCTAATGGTGACCAAGGTCAGTGAACCAACGTTCAATTTTCATATTCCTTGACAGTTCACGTCCCGAATCGGGGTCATGAGAAAAAAACAGTAACAAAGCTTAACCTTGAGGAACTCACCAACCACTCACAGCAGACTTAACGTGTACAAATACGATTCGCAGATATATGGTTTAACTTTCTAAGAAACGGTCTCAAGCAGTACAGAATAACCTTCAACAAGAAAACAACCAATCAGAAGACGCTGCTTCTCTGATAACAATAATGTACATAAGAATCTATAAATATCGCTTGATTTTCTGAATAAACGATCTGTTACCTGGCCGTTGTCTTCTGTCTTTACAAACTGACATCTTATGTGATTTGCAAGTGTATTAAGATTGTTTTTGTACATAAACTTAGCCATTTCTCTAGGCTGCAGACACATGATGAAAAGCCGACGAAATCTCAGTCTGCACAAGCCGCTGTTATTTTTGCTTCATTCAAAACGAATCCATCGGTTGAGAACTTTCACTTCTTATCTGAGACTGAATCGGTTACCACACACACACAAATTTAAATGAATACCACTTTTTATTGATCGATTCAATAGCATTTTACTGACGGAAATGATCAGTGTTGAGTACTTTCCATACACTGATTTAATTTTTTTTATCACTAAACAATGAAGAAATTTCTAACAAAGAAATAGTTTAGAGACATAAAGAAAATAGGTACAATTAAAACGTAATTCAAAAGTACAACCTAAAAAATGGACCAATCAGAAGTGTAGAAATAAAGTTTATTCACATCACATGATTGGCCGACTATTGGGATTTGCTCGTCATTATTATTAATATTATTTGTCAATCTGCTCACAACTTAGTAGTCATTAAAAGTTCTTCAATGCACAAAAATGGTTATGCAATTGAAAAACTTCTTAAACGTAAATTATGCCGTGAAGAATATGATCATTTATTATTTTGGTCTAGTTCAATATGTCATTTGGGTACAGAGAAACCAGAATTCAAATATCTCATCATCGGTGAAGAATGGTTGTATACAATGACCCATCCAAAACGACAACTTGAAAGTAGAATACACTTTAGTGTATGCGCTAATTTCTGTGCTTTCCTTTAACACAACTATCGTGTACAGTCAATTTTAGGTGTTGGATGCATTGGAGATTTAGCTAAATTTTTAAGCTGTCAAATTACACGAAATTATAATCATATCTGTGTGGAATTTATTGTTAGTGTACCACAGAAGTATCAATATTTTGGTGATACTGTCAAGACGATTGAACAAAACGTGAAGGTGAGTCAATATGGTCACATTTTAAGGTGTATCCAAAGAAAATCACATTATTACATTCATTATATCATTTTTGGAAGTTATTTCTCTAAGTTTTGGGTGGAACATAAGATCCGGATTTTCGACTACAATGTGACGGATCAGAGACTTGGCGCATCATAAAGAGCATCTCAAACAAACTACACACCTTCATTAACAGTTATCTTCGCTCAATACTCAAGATCAGATGGCCAGGCAGAAAAGATCAGCAACAGGGATCTCTGGCAATGAGCGAACCAACTCAGCAGGAACCGATTGTGAAACAAATATGCAGAAGGAAATGGAGATGGATTGGCTGGCCATACTCTGAGGAAACCATCAAGTGACATCACTAGACAAGCCATTGCTGGAGTGGAACCCGACTGAAAGGGAAGCGGCGAGTTGGTCGGCGGTGCAAGGGTGAGTGACTTGGAGGAGGTGATATGAAGAGGAGGTGAAAGCATGTGGGCAGACTTGTAGCCAGGTGAAGACTCTAGCAGAGAACCGAACGCAATGGAGATGCGCGCCTGAAGCCCTATGTTCCTCTAAGAATTAAAGGAAACAATAATAATAATAGGGATTCAAGCTAGAGCTTTGAAGTTTCGGTAGCAGTAGTTTTGGTTTCTAGCCTCACGCCTAACCTTCCCTCTCTACCGGCCTTACTACTGGCTCAGCTAGGTCTTGGAGTGTGTCAGCCAGGGATTGAACCCCAGACCAAACCATGTGAGGCGTGGTTGGAAAGCGTTCTACCACTGAACCACTGGAGCACCTCATTACTTCATAGGGTAAGTCTATTTGATAAAGTCTATAGAATAGAATATTTAGATTAGAATAGAATATTTATTATTTGCTAATGATGTTTTGAGCACAATTGATTACTATTCATCATCTACATCAAGTTAATCACACAGCCTTCCACATTCGTTTATATTTATGAGTAAAACACTTGATTAGACATATGAATGAATAAATGAAAGTCCATATGAAGTTCATTAGACATGCGTGAAACATATCAAATAGGGAGAAAAGTACATTCGGAAATAATATTAGCGTTATCAATAAAATATAATACGATGGGAAATAAAATGTTTTGTCAATAAAATAAAATAAATAAAATGTTAGAATGTAATAACGTAAAAGTGAAATTAAAATACGAAATTGAATAACAGTTTGATTTTAGCGATTTGATGTGTTTCAAGTTTGGTGACACATCGATATCAGTTAGAGAACCGCCATTGAAAACCACTGGGGAGTACCGGACAGTTGTTTCGTCAGCCTAGTTTGGGACTCATTGACAGTACACACCCACCGAATTTTGAATCAAGGACGAATTTACCTGTAGTTCTAATGGAAAGTCGTCACTAGCAGTGGGTGCCATCCGGTCGGGAGTGAGGACAAATACTCACCGCCGTAGTAATGGACTGGTACCATTGGCTCTAAAATCACTAATTGGTAAAAGTTGGTCGGCCACTTAGTCAGGTACTAATGGCTGAGTGGTCTGCGAGCTTGACTTGTAATCGAAAGGTCCTGAGTTTGAACTCTGGTGGTGGTTGATCACAGCTGACAATTCCCGAATAGGAAGAAAGAACTCTCCAGTACTCACTGGTGGTTTTCAATGGTGGATCTCTAGCTGTGATCAAACTTGAGACTATGTGATCGTTAAAAATCCACTGTTTAAACCAATAGATTTTAGTTCCATTGATTATTACTATCACCATTGAAAACTAAACAATTTGACATCTCCTAGAATCATTATGTGTAATTTTATGATATTTTCATCAGCGAGTTGAACACCAGTGGTGGAAATGTGAACTGTGAAACAGCTGCCTACATTTTAAAAATGTCCATTGGTACACTATACTATTATTATGAGTTAAATGAAAACTTGAGTTAATAAATTGTCTGCATCTCGATTGGTAGATGCTTCATTATCATTCTAGGTATCATTGTCAGTAGAATAAGAATAATAAAAGCTTTATTTTGGGCAGTGTTTATATTTAATATACAGAAGTTTCAGCGGAGATTAAAACACAATGGTTTCCTTTAGTTCAGGAACTTCAAGTAAATTACTATTATTATTACTGTTTCCTTTAGTTCCTTGAGCAGCATAGGGTTTCGGCCGTACATCTCCATAGCGTTCGGTTCTCTGCCAATATATCCACCTGGCTCCACGTCTGATCACATGCTTTCATCTCCTCTTCACATCACCTCCTCCATGTCGCCACACCCTCTCACTGACGACCAACTCGCAGCTTCCCATTTTGGTTCCACTTGAGCGATGGCCTAGCGTGTGATGTCACTTGATGGTTTTCTCAGAATATCGCCAGCCAATCCACCTCCATTTCTTCCCGCATATTTCTTGCACAGTTGGTTCCTACTGGGTTGGTTCGTTCATTGTCAGAGATCCCTGTTTCTGATCTTTTCTGGTCGGCCATCTTCAGCAGTGAGCAAAGACAGCTATTGATGAAAGTCTGTAGTTTGTTCGAAGTTCCCTTCTTGACGCGGCGTCAAGTCTCTGATCCGTATAGTGGGTAGCACTGACTGACTTCACATTGGAGTTGAAAAACCGGATCTTATTTTTCATGCTGAGTGCTTTTGATCTCCATAAAAATTTGAGATAAATGGAAGCTTGCCTTGCTTTCCCGATCCTTGCTTTGATATCCTCATCAGTTCTGTCCGCCTGGTAGGTAGGTAGATAGGTAAATGAGGTTGCTTCTTTCAGGTTTCTCCCATTTATGCTGATTGTCGTCTGTTGTTTTTGCTGTCTCTGTTGGTGCTGCCCAGGAATCTTCGTCACCTCTGTTTTCTCTATGTTCACCAGAAGTCCTATCTTTGGTGCTTCTTCTATCGACATCTTGTTGCTTTTCACTTGCAAATATTCCAGTTTGTAAGTAAATTAGTAACTGACATTAAATCACATATTGGCTAGCGGTTAAGCTATGTCGTGAATTGGCAGAAGTTAGAATTCATGGACCATTGGATCGGGTCCCAGTGGCTTAATGGTATACGACCTCGCCTTGTAACCAGAAGGTCGTGGGTTCGAATCCCGGTGGGTGCGTACTGCTGAAGAGTCCCGAACTAGGACTAAGCAGCTGTCCAGTACTCCCAGGTTTTCCAATGGTTCTCTAACTGATGTCAGCTCATGATGAAATCCTGTAACCAATCAAATCCCTACAAACGAACACTTGAAAATCACATATCACACTGCTGTCTGACCTGAAGCGAAAACCAATCTCCCTTTAGGACATTTCTTCTTTGTCTCTCTCCTTCGAGAAATGTACATTTGGTTGAAAGCTTATCGAAAATGGTGTAGCGGTACATTTTGTTTTACCTAAGGACATACTAATAGCTGAATAATCAAAAGCTGCAGTGTAATTGGTTTCATTACTCAGACAGTAGCAGTTTGTACTTCCACAGTTTTGCTTTTCTTCAAATCTAGTAGAATGTTGCAAATGAGCAGATTTCAGACATTTTAAATGCTCGTGAGAGTAGAAAACACCATTAGAGGTCATGTTTTAACAGAGTGAAACAAAGTGAACAAGAGAAATTATATGCCATCCAGTGATGGAGGTTTTTGGTGGCTCAAGTTTTAAACAGACCGCCAATAATCAATTCATTCATAAGTCCAATCTATTTGTTGCTTATGTATATAAATGAAGTAAGAAAGTTATGTGAGTAACTTGATGTAGATTATGAGTAGTAATCAGCTGTTTCTGAAAGCGTCATCAGTAAATAAAAAATATTGTGTAACCTTGTAAAACTTCAACAAATAAATTAACTCTGTGTTCGGATTACACTCTGCTATACTGCCGAGGTTTTATTCTTATAATACGTTCTCATCCAGGATTCATTACATATTTTATGTCACATAATCAGTCAAAAAAGAAACATGACGTCATCTAGTTCATAGTGGCTATTGGTGGATCTACTATCCCAAGACCTAGTGGAAGACACTTTAGCATTTGACACACTGTATAGCGGGTTCGAGTCACATCGGGAACACCAAAATTGACCCATTAGGGATTGTATTACGTCTACCTGACGAGTCTCGAATATACGGGAAGCACATATCCGCAATTCTACTGTCAAATAACGTCATGCTAACCATAAGAAATTCTTGAAGCGTCTGCACTAGCAACCAACATGTCAATGCAGACCAAATACCTCAAACCAATGAAAAGAGTCAATCAATGGATGTGAAACCTTGCATAGCATTGAGAAGCAGAATAGGAAAATAAACAGATCACTGTAAAAATCAGTTGAAAAAGCCGAAGAAATGTTTGTGCTTAGTGTTGCCATGGAAACCGACTGACATTCTCTGGACATCTAATTATAGTTAACAAAAAACCAAATGAGGCAGATTTATCTGCACTGGAATAATACATCACCCATTTTTACGGATAACTTCATACTTTGAGGGTTAAGATTCTGTTCAGATGAACCTCTCGTAAGCCAAAAAATTATTCTTATTGTCCTCAGATCAGCTTCTTAGTTTATTTAAGTTCATTTGTGTTTGCATATGGGATAAAAATACTCGCCGGTGTGTGTTGACGAAATGTCAGCTGTCAGTTTGAACCCTTCAACTCTGTCTGGAGATTAATATGATGGCAAACGAATCCCATAATGAGCATTTAAAAAAATAATAATAATTCATGTATTCCAAACAATAATAACAAGTATACGGAATGGAGTTTTCACCTTTCTTTTTATACATATTGCAACAATTTAGGGTCGGGGTGACCGAGCGGTCTAAGGCGCCAGACTCAAGGGTAATCTTCTGGGTGTTCTGGTCCACGATGTGGGCGTGGCTTCATATCCCACCTCCGACACACGCTTTGTGCGTCGATGGTACAGTGGTTAGGACGCTTTCCGACCATACACAGGGTCCGGGGTTCGATCCCCGGCAACCGACGCAATCCTTTACCTCTCTGAACCAGAAATAAAAGCTGGTAAACAGGAAAGGTTTGGCATGAGGCTAGTAACTC